GCGCCCCCCCCCCCCCCCCCCCCCCTCCGGCATATCTCTTAATGGGTCAGAAAGATCAATGCCCTGAGGCTTCTTTTCAAGGTCCATTTCTCCTTTATCTATAGGGAGGGGAATAGACCTGCAAACTAGCTAGCCAAACTAGGAAATAGCTCTGATTCTGTTATATATATATATTTGCGTGTGTGTCTATGTTTTATCCATCTTCACATTAATTCAGTATTGGAGCAAAACTCAACACCATAAAATAAGATATAACAATTTGAATGAAGCCACCCAAGCTTCTTAGTGTCTTTATGGAGTTCTTAAAGTGTTATTGAGTATCAACATAAGACCCTCTATACTTAAAATGTAAATGCAATGATAATCTTCTCATTCATCTCTTCCTCCTCAAAACTAAGTCCCTTTCAATACCTCTTCTTCATGACAGATTATTTCATTCATCTCCCTTTGGGAAAAATGCTAATATCTATACGATATGATTAAAAACCTTTAGCTTTTATATTTCAACTATTCGATGTATAAATCTTTGTAGCCTTCGAGAAGTGGAGTGCAAGTCAACCTGAGTTTATCATGATTTTATATTTTTGGCATTATCATGTGGGGTACTTATTTGTAATCAACTATTAGTGGCTTAAATTTCATGCATTATTTTTAAGTCTAGTATAGTATTTTCCATTTTATATCAGGTGCAACTTTGTCAACTTTTAAGAGAGTTATTTATAGAATAAAATTCAAAAACTCAAATTAAATTAGTTCATGTTGACAATGAAGATAGAACCGATTTTTTCGCTCAAGTATTTTTCTTTTCGATTGATGTTCTTTCCTTTTCTTAACTTTGGGTTTCTTCTTTATACTTTCTCATTTTATATCTTCTACTCCTTTCGTAAAGCCCATTCATAACCCTCATCTTTATCTTTCGCTCACAAACTTCTTCTCTTCTCTCAAAAACTAAGAAAAATCCACCACAATGTCATTTTCATTATATGGTGTGCCACCAAATCATCACTTATCCATAGAATTTAAACCAGGAGGGAATATGCAAACTTTTGTATGACATCATTTTTCTTGATTTGTGAACTTTTTCATGACTTCATCTTTCCCTCACAAACAGCTTCATTATCTTAACTCCATTTTTATTGACTCGTGCACTTTTTCATGACACAAATGCTTCTAATGTCATATCTAAAACAATGGCAAGCGATCAACAATGAGATAAATATTTAAGTCACACAAAATCTCAATCCCACCACTTTCTCTCCTTAGAATATGCAACCAATTTCATGCCATGGAATTTGCTAGTGGTGAAAGTTATAAATAGCAATTTCTTGATGCTTCTAATTTGTATGAGGGATTTGCAAGCATCAATTTGGGACTACAACCCCCAAAACTTGGTATATCACCCACTCAGATTTTTGCAAGAATTTTGGTCTATTTTGCTCCTTTCAGATCCTTAACAAAATATTCCTTCATTTCTTGGACTCTTAGTCCTTTTATTTGCTTTAGGCTTCCTTTACATTAAAGCAAAGACAAGCAAGTCCGAATTCAATAGTAAGAGAAGCTAGTTCCATGGATTAGGCATTACATATTTATTTTATGGCATGAGTCTAGCATGATGGATTGTGTAAATGACTTTTTCGTATTACCTTTAAAAAACTCTCTCCTCTTAAATTATACCCCTATCAATATTATCATGATCAAACCAATTGGTACTATTTCTTACAATTTCATCCTCAAATATTTAATCAAATCTAACTTTACGTTCTTAATTTCAATGTACATCCATCTTAACATTCATTTGTCACATTTAAATTGATTATCAACAACTTTTTTATTGTTTACTCGATGATTATAATTTCATTATGTTCACCTAAGGCACATTTAAACAAAACTAACTTAAAAAGAGAAAATATACAGTAAAACTGAAAGAAATATATACATTTTTTTTTTATGAAAAACCCAAGGGCTGATTTTTTTGAAATAGAAAGGATACATAAAGGTTGTATGAGAGGGTCCAATAGAGGCACCCTACCCATACAGTAATACCTCAACAAAAAGATACAGATAGACTCAATAAAAATGTAAAACAAATTTAAAGCATGCAGCAAACAGGTAGCTAGGGACGAGCCAGTTTAGTACTGCCACTTCCTCTAGTTTTAGGAGTGAAGCCAGATAACAAACTTTGAAGAGTCGTGTCATTGCCAGGAGAAACCAAAGTATTATCCATTAAGTTTCAAAGTTGGAGTGTGCCCCCAGCCATCTTCTTCCGCCGAGAAGTGTAAACCTGTCATTCTTCATCTGAAGACTGGCTCATGTGATCCTCGGTCTGATTAGATGATAAAACCGCAGTAGAAGAAAAGCCAGTTGTTGTCACAACGATAGGTTCCAGTGTATTTGAAGTGTGAATTGTCACCTCTGCACCTGATGCTTCCTAAATAGGAGCTGTCGAGCTATCCTGATTTTCTGTTCGAACATTATCCGTTGTAGAATGGTCAGGAGAAGGGATCTCTGGGCAGACACCAACTCTTGTCTTATGGCGATTCCCTCCTCAGGTTGGCTATCATCAGGTTTGCTAGGAGCGCGTTCAGACATATGGAGTGCACTAATAGCATGTTCATGCTTTTGACTATTGGTTCCCAACTGTGGATGCAATCTAAAATATTTCTATTGCAGGTGTCCAAACATCTTGCAGTGTCTGCGGTAATATGGTTTTTGTTCAACAATAATTTTTTGCCAATAACCATTGTGAGCAGAGTCATGCCAGACTTCTTCTATATCTGGTAGTGTAATATATCTTTCAATGAAAATCATTGCAATAGAGAGCCTTGAAAAATAAACTGTAGGTAAGTCTACCTGCAAAGGTTTTCTAAAAAATATTCTCAATTGCATATAAGATAGGTAGGTCAAAGAATTGAAGCTTGAGTTCAGATAATGAGAACCAGATAGGCGCAATTGGGGGTTCTTGACTGGGATCCAAATTAGGGGTCTATTTAAGCAATTTTATATGTTTTCCCTCGATTGTGATGAATTTCTTTTAGAAGATCCTCGTGTAATCTTCTTCTATGTTCAGCTGTATTATAACATGTCTTCCGTTGAAATGACCCACCTGCCAATCCCTAACCAGTTTGAAATCTTCAAAAACCTTCCTGATAATCTCCATCTTAGGGCAACCTAATTGAAATTTTCCAACTAGTGTAAATTTGTATTTTTCTGCACGAGTTTAAATTTCAGCGTCAGAGAAGAAAATTGATGATTTGTCCGGCTTTTCCTCTACTTTTTTTGATGAGATTGCAATCTTCATTTCCTGCAACAGAATCATGGTACATCTGTGGGAATATCGGACTATCTGCGAGGTGGAAAAGAGAGCTGCGTTTGTGAACCACTGTAGCATAGGAGGGTTTGGCAGGGTTATCACCGACGACGACGACAGCGTAGGAAGACCCTGAGGACATTAGCGTATTTCACACAAGCACTGCAGCAACCGACTGTCGTTTACCAAAACGGTACGCTAGCAAAACGGTACGCGAGCAATCCAGTGGGCACCAACAATTGATTCCCCCAAAAGGTTGAAAACCCTGGTGTGTTTGTTTCTGATTCAAAGAGCCCGCACCACGGGATTCGAACCCCCGACCCGAGGGACTTAGCCAGAGGCCGCACCAATGAGCTAGGCCATTCGCAATATGACATTAAATAAGAAAGATTCATTGTGAAAATATCGGCCAGTTGAGCTCATATATATATATATATATATATATAATTACTTTGAAATTGGACTAAACATTAGCAGTTGAGCTCAAAATTGGAAACAAATAGTCAGCTGTTTGGTGGGATAAAGCATGTAACAATAGCAATATGGCATTAAAATAAGCAATTAGTACAAATGCAATGTAAACGGACTTGAGTACAAAGATATTTTCCTGCTGTCTAACAGATGCTATAAATGCTTCATAAAATACAAAGAGCCTTGGGAAACCGTTCCCCAAGAAAAAAAAAATTGAGGATTGTTACAATACAAATAACAAGACAGCTAAAATGAGATTAGGTAGCACTTAAAGCACAGCAGAACAGATCTTAGATTTACAATTTTTAATTCATCTTAACAAAATTGTCTAGAGTGTTAGTTCATTTCGGATACATCATTGCACACATCAATATGAAATCATCAGATGTAGTAACTTCTTCCAAATTCCTAGAACTTCTATAAGAATTATCCGACATTAAAGATCAAACTCTGTTAGACATCAAAACAATCATACACTGCCTAAATACCCAGGTGTCATGGAAAAATTTGATAACAGTTTTACCTTGATGCTAGAATCACTCATTAGAAGCTCTTCAGCCATGAGTTCAAATTCAGAGTATGGATACTTTTTCAGACCAAAAGTCAGTAGACCCCCAAAAAGCAGACTGAGCTGTCCTTGAACCTGAACATTAAAGATAAAATGCATCACTAACCAAAAAAATCTTCTTGATGGATTCATTATTAGGCCACAAAAATAGAATCAGAGCATTACTAATGCAAAACTGCAAAGCTGTGCATACAGAATTAATGCAAAAAGTTAAAAAAAAAAAACACACACACACACACAGAGGATGAAATAACGAGGTATGCTAGAGGTATCAACTGATATTGGAGTTCAATTCAAACCTCAAATAAAAAAATAATAATAAAAAGTAAAATAAAACTAATACTATAAGGCTATTACATTTACAGTACATGCAAGTCAAACCATAAAATTTCTACCCTGATATTCCATGACATCTCATAAAAAGGTAAATAAGAATCAGCAATACATACAGCGAAAGAAACATATTACTTGATGCAAGGCGCTATGTCAAACACAGCCATTTGGTTTATTAATTTTAGTTTCATAAAGATTTTACACCCCTTCCATACTTTCCAAATCCTTCCCTGGCACAAACTAGTTGGAAAAACACAAAAAACTACTTATGACTACCCTTCATAGGCCAATGCCATCCGGTTTTACAATTCGTTACACTTATTCTAACTTAAAAATTTTCACTAAAGACCGATTAAGTGGCTACTTGTTTTGGTGAAAGAAGAATTCAAAATAAAAAGAGCAAGGGGATTTCAAAATTTAGCTTAGTTGGATGAAGAAGGAATGCAAAGCAATAGTTCGAATTATTGGCCAAATTTCGAACATACCACGCGCATGAAACCTTGCCAGACAACTTTGGTTGATATCACCACCCATTGCAACTATCTACCATTGGCCCACTGCCAATCGGTGCTACCACCCACTATTGAGGTTCAGGCTGTAGGTTTTGAGAATTGAGCAATACTTTATTGATGTGAAAGAGGGATATATATACATGTCACATGAATCCTGAAATAGGAAAGACATAACATATATATCTCCAAGATTACAATTAATCAATTCCTAATAACTATCCAGAGATAAAAGGGAAAATATAAATAGAGAAAAACAAAAAAGGAAATAAATCAATAGTAATCATTTCTAGCACTCCCTCTCGAGTTGATGTCAATCATGTTCAACTTGGACTTGAAACCATCAAACGGTCGAGAAAGATTCATTGTGAGAATATCGGCCAGTTGGCCAACGAATGGGATAAATGAAACACAAATCTCCTCGGAATCAAGTTTCTTCTTGATAAAGTGACGATCACTCTCCACATGCTTGATACGATCATGTTGGACTGAAATATAAGCAATGCTAATGACGTCTTTATTGTCAAAAAAAGCTAAAGAGGAACGGTGACCGCATACGTAACTCGCAGAGCATGATAGCGAGGTTCCACACATTCCCAAGGACATAAAGCAAAACTCGGCTTTAGCAATGCTATGAGCAATCACAGACTGTTTTTTTTACTTTTCCAAGTGAAAAGGTTCCCCAATACGAAGGTGTAATAACCAAAGGTAGATTGTCGATCATGGACAGACCCAGCCCAATCAACATCCGTATAAATTGCAACATAGTGAAAAGTGTGACAAGTGAACAACAACCCTGAGCCTAATGTACCTTTTATATAGTGAATGATCTGATGGACAGCGGCGAGATGATGCTTGAAGAGGTCATGCATAAACTGATTTTTAACAGAAACAGGCTGACAAATGTGTGGGTGTGTACGGACGAGGTAAATGAGCTTACCCACGAGGCTTTGGTAGTGTGTTTTGTTCACTAGAAAGACATTAGAAACTTCCAACAATTTCTCACTAGGGGTCCATGAGGATATCTATCGATTTGCAAAGAAGTAGATCCATCACATATTCGCGCAAAAAAAGACAAATGCCACGAGAGGACCGAGCTACTCCCATGCCTAAAAAAAATATGAGGAAACTCAAGTTTTTCATGTTGATAAAATGCGGCAAGGATGCCTTTGAGAGACTCCAAGGCCGGAAGATCAACACGATATCATCGACATAGATAATGAGGTTGGCAATACGGTCAGTGTATGAATTGCGAAAAAAACAACATTAGAATAGATTGGGCTTGAGAGAACCATGGCCCACTACAACTTGTGTAAACTTGTCGAACCAAGCCCGTGGAGATTGTTTCAATTCATAGAGAAACTTCCGCAATCGACATACATATCCACGGGAAGAAGACGAGTCAAACCCTGGTGAGAGAGACATATAGACCTCCTCAGTGAGATCGTCGTCAAGGAAAGCCTTCTTGACGTCCGGCTGAAGCAAGGGTTAAATCAAGATTCACGGCTCGGGATAACAGGACCCGAATGGTACTTTGTTTAGCAACTAGAGCAAACATCTATTTATAATCAATTCCATAAGTTTGTAAATATCCCTTAGCAACCAACCGCGCTTTGTTGCGTTTAAAGAATCCATCGGAGTAAAAATTGGTGTTGAAAATCCACCTACAACCTGTCACTTTCTTTTCCCGGGGAAGATCAACCATGTCCCAAGTATGGTTACACCAAAATGCATTCATCGAATCCATGACAGTAGTCTTCCAAGACATGTCAGCCAAACTTGCCTCAATAGTGGATGTGAAACAACGATCCATCAAGGATGTGGCAAAAGCTTTGTATATCGGAGATAGGCTATGGAACAAGACATTTTGTCATAGTATAAAGAGTGTATGGACGAAACTGTTTAAGTACGTCAATTCAAATCTTAACTCAGATCAGGGTCACCCTCATAAGTTGAGAGGGCCTCATCTAGGGATGTCAAACGGAGCGGACATCATGCCCTGCAGCCGGTCAGCGAGATCGACGACAAGGGCATTGGGACGAGTCTCAACATAGGGTTTTGTATGACGAGAACAGACACTGAGAGGATGGTAATGTTGGCCTAGCTGATGGCAAATCCAACAGGACTAGAGGTGCATCTGACACAATGGTCGTAGGAGTAGAAAGAATGTCTAACGGATTCGAAAAATGAACAATGTCCAAGAAAATAAGCTCCCCCTCACTTGATGTTGTTTTAGGGGAAGAGACATTTTCAAAAAATGAGACGACGGCGCTAACATAGCTTTTATTGGTGGAATGATCAAGACACCGATAGCCCTTTGAGTGACAGAATAGTCAAGAGACAGCTAATTGAGCGGGGATCATGTTTACTACGAGTCGAGGTAGTGTTTGAAACAAATGTCGTGCACCCAAATATTTTGGGATCTAATGTAGAAAAGAACCAATTGATAGAAAAAATATGACATCATGATGGATAATTGGGTTTGAAAGTTGTGAATCATTGTGGGAACTCTATTGATGAGGTAGGTGGCGCTAAAGACGGTCTCATTCCAAAAATGTTTAGGAACATTAGTTTGAAATATAATGGAACGAGCAACTTCGAGAAGGTGTATATTTTTCCGCTCGGCTACCCCATTTTTTTAAGGGTATCCATACAAAAGCTATGATGAAAGATGCCCTTACTAACCAAGAATTCTCCCAATAGAGTTAAAGTACTCACAAACATTGTTAGTTCAAATGACTTGAATAGTGGTTTTGAATTGGGTTAGAATGGAGTGGAAATTTTTAATAATGACACAACTTCATATTTATCTTCTATAATATAGACCCAAGACATCCGAGTGTGGTTATTAATTAGAGTAAGGAATCGCCGTTTATTAGTATAGCTCGATGTTCGAGAGGTTCAATATAATTCATTATGAATAAATGAAAAAGGAGAGGAAGGAGTGTAAAGATGAGGTGAATATGGTACACATCGATGTTTAGCTAATTGAAAAATTTTACATTTAAAAGATTAATCTTTTATCAATAAACAACAAATGACATAATTACCTTAAATTGGATGATCCAAACAAATAAAGTAGAAAGAGAAAAACTACAACTATAAGATTGAGTGTCAGCATCATCAATGACATTTTCTTGGAAAAATAGAGCTCGACTACCAACTTAGTAGTTACAATCATCCTCCCAAACGATGATCCTGAAAGACACAACATCTGGAGAAAAATGAGCAACACAATCAAGATCACATATTAACTTAGTGGCCAACAAAAGGTTACACTTAAGCAAACAAATATTTGACATGAATCCCAATGCCAGCCCTACGGTTAGTACAACTAACCATTTCCGTGCAAAGGAATTAAAGGATTTGCCAGCAATTTTAATCGTATCTTGCCCGGAGCAAGGAGAATATATCGAGAAAACATGAGAACACTTGGCAATGTGGTATGTCGCACTTGAATCACTAATCCACGAACTAGAAGAAGCAAATCCAGCTAGTGTCATAGAGATGTTACCTTCACAGACATGAGAGGTCGGTGGGCCAAAGGAGAACAAACTAAATCCAAGCAGGTTAATCAAGTGGTTCATCTGATTCTTAATAGAGTCCGGCGAGTCGGAAATGATCCGAGTAGGTTTCGACTAAATCATTGAAGATTCTGAGGTCGTAGAGAGACCTTTAGCAACGGAAGATTAGGTCGAAGACTTTTTTGTCAGTTTCCTAGGGAACTTCCTACATTTTTCAAGGTATGGTAGGGTTTATGGCAAAAATCACATGTGGAGTGATTGGCTCACGACGGCTTGGCAAAGTATCGAGTACGGTTGGAGACCAAGGCTGACAACTAGGCTAAAGTAGTTGAGTTGCCGATCATGACCCAGTCTTCGGCTTTCTTCGCTGTCGATCTAGGTGAATGCTGCCTGGATCGAAAAAAGAGGGTCACAATGAAGTATACGGCCACAAACCTCATCAAGTTCCCTGTTCAAGCGAACCAGAAATTGGAACACACGACTCCTTCCCAAAATCTTATGAAAGAGGGAATGGTCAGAGAGAGAGTCCCAAGTTTAGTCATAATAGAGGTAGAGCATTGAATCCATAAAGCAACCAAGTCGTTGTAATACTGAGTCACTGTATTCGATACCTGTTTAGCCTCACGGATCTAATAAGAAACTTCATAGAGTTGTCTAAAATTACCTAAGCCTGAGTAGGTATCGCGAACGACAGTCCAGATAGCACTTGCAGAGGTTTCTGTGGTTAATCAGCCAAAACATTATAATGGAGTTTTCCACTTCCCGCGTAGCATATGTGGGTCAGTCTTCGGAGACTCACAAATCATACCCGTTTGGTAGCTAAATTTATCCCAACCTCTGACGACAACAAAACAGCTTGAGACCATTGGAGGAAATTGGTGTCGTTGAATATATGAGTGGTAATTAAGAAATTCATGTGGTGTTCAGGTTCTTCGATCAACAGAGGGGTTAATGTAAATTTTGATCCTCTAGTGGGCTCAAGAAGAGCAACAGACGACAGCTCGATGGTGGAGAAATCTACCATGGCTTCGATGGAGCCAACGGAGAGCTTTGGCTGCCAAGACATGGAAGGAGTCGATTCCGTACTCGGCTACCAACAAACAAGGCCTGTAGGGAAGGATTTCTAGCCGACAAGAGGGAGATCCGATCATGCAGGATGGAGATCCGACTACAGGAACGGAGTCCGACGGCTAAAGGTAGGAACCCTGCCTTGGGAGGCCTGTAGAGAAGAGATCTAGCTGCAGGAAGGGAGTCTGACAGTTCTGAGAGGAGGTCCGGTGGCTATAAACCAGCAGGGGAAGTTTTGGCAGCTCGAGATCTATTAGGGAAGGCTTGCAGGGGAAGTTCCAACCGCTAGAGACCTGAGGGGAGAGGTTCCGACAGTGAGGGTAAGGATCCTGGCGGCTAGGGTAAGATCTCAGTGCGCTGATACCATGTAGGTTTTGAGAATTGGCATGATACTTTATTGATACAAAAGTGGGGTAAAATAGGAAAGACATAATACATATATATCTAAAATTACAATTAATCAATTCCCAACAACTGACAAGAGATAAAAGAAAATGCATAAAATAACAATAAAGGAAATAATCAATAATAAAAATTTCTATCAATAAAAAAGAGCAATTTTTTTCGTTAAAAGAAGAATTCAAAATAAAAAGATCAAAAGGATTTCAAAATGTAGCTTAGTTAGATGAAGAAGGAATACAAAGCAATAGTTGGAATTATCGGCCAAATTTCTAACATACCATGGGCATGAAACCTTGCTAGCCAACCCTGGGCTTCTATCGCCACTCATTGCAGTTATCTAACATTGGCGCATTGCCAATCACTGCTACCACCACCTATCGAGGCTTAGGCTAAATTAATTTTACTTCAAACAACACACAAAAAAGTAATCTTCTGCATTTCATTTACACTCAACCAAAAAAGTTGTTGATACATCATTGCACACATCATATTGCTTTGGGTGTGACATCATCATGCCTATTCCTTATTCAGTCACGTACTTAATAGGCAAGAAGAGTTTGAAACAAAAAGAAAAACAAAAAAAATCAACAAAAAGATGACATCCCGGAGCTTAAATGACAAAAATGCACATTAGCTATCAAATGTTGAACTTTTCTAAACGGGTCCGCACAAAGAGAACAATACTTGCTCTCAAATACAAATGTGAAGATAAATAAAAGAAAAATAAAAAACTTTCACTACCCAGCAAAACAAGGCCATCATGATTTAGGGAAAAAAATCTTGGGCTCTCCTTAGCTGGACAGAGAACAGAGCGCAAGTGGTGACCATGAAAATATTGCTAAAGGTACCTCCACCAATCAACGTGGAAGCTGCTAGGAGAATCTCAGATTGTCATGAGTTTCGTACAAATGTAAAAACGATAAGACAATAAAATGTATTTTACCTGTTATTCTATAAGTTGAGGGCATATTTTAAACACTTTCAATGCCTTCAAATTAGCTAATGAAAAATCATTTCGTAAAAGCATGAATAACTCTTATGATGTAAAAGCATGATGTGTTATTTTTCAGTCACTAGAATGCAAAAGATCCTAAATATTCTTAGATAAATGTAGATTATTAGTTGAACTTCAGATGATAAATCCAAAACATACCTAATTGTGATATTTGGAAGTGTAAATTTTCACTCACCTGCACACGACTCCATAGCAAAGGAACAACAGCTTTGGCATGATTTCTAACAAACACATTTGTCCAGAGTGGTTGATATGGAAATTCTAGAAGAAGGGTATCAGTCCTTGTTGAGCGGTTGTGGTTAGACATAATAAGGCTTCGAGGTACGGCATCATAAAGAGTTCCAGCAGCACCATTGTTACTAAGACAACCCAGACTCCTACCTCCTGCAACAAGACATAAATTTCCTCATTGCCGCAGATAGCAATGAAAATTATATGGAAATATGTTGAAGAAAACAAAGAAAGGAGGGATTAAGAAGCAACTAATCTGAATGTAAGAGAAACACCACCTAAGTGACCATCGGATTTAAGTAAAATAAACTTTAAAGCCAATTAGATGGAACACTAAACGTAGTTAACATTCAACTGACCATGTAGATAGCAAACATGTATCGATTAGCATGAGTAGCCAAAAAAAAAAAGGATTTCCACATCAAATCATATCAAATAAGCACCTAAAAATGGTTTTTGATAGAAATTTTAGCCAAAACTACCATTTTACAGCATCAAACACTTGGCAATAAAACTGTACCCATGAAACACTAAAGCAGATAAAGGTGACAAGTTTGTGCATGTTAGGAATAAATGTTTTAGCATCATGCCTCTGTAAACACTACAAGAAGTAAACTTGATAAGAAAAGACTTTATATTAGGCATAGCTTTTCAAATTGTTCCAGATCATATTAGAAAGCAGGCTACAGTAATAAAATCACTAAGCAATAAAGTACACAATAAAGAATGAACAACAAAAAGAGGATTTCAACATCAATTCAACTAAGATAAGCACTAAAACAAAGTTCTCGATAGAAATTTTAACCAAAACTACCATTTTACAGCATCAACCACTAGGCAATAAAACTGTACCCAACACTAAAGCAGATAAAGGTGACAAGTTTGCGCATGTTAGATATAAATGTTTTAGCATCATGCCTCTGTACACACTACCAAAAGTAAACTTGATAGGAAAAGACAATATATTAGGCATGGCTTTTCAAATTGTTCCCAATCATATTAGAAAGCAGGCTAAAGTAAAAAATCCCTTAGCCATAAAGTACACAATAAAGAATAATCTCCTCAGAGCTTTAACTTCTAAGTGCATCTTCAAAACTAGCTCTTAATTTTATGTATAAATGACCATTAAAAGAATAGCATTCCAAGCCTCTTCTTCTCAACATGATATCAAGGTGAGGTTAGGGTCCTATTTTTCAACATTTGTTCTCATCTTTCAGTCCTATCTTCATTATATCTGATTTTCCACTCCGAGGAGTCAACCACTATGACCAGAGAAAATCTGACAAAAGGAGAGCTCTAGAGAGTGCATGTATCATATCGATTGAATGAAAAACTAACTTACGTGATCTCATATTATGAAAATTTTCCTAAAAAAAGAAAGGGAAAGATCTATCAACTTAAGGATTCCCCTCCAAAGCTAAAAGACACAAAATTTACACTTTAGACTGAAGCTGATTCCATGATCATGACATGAATATAGAACACCATAATGCCTGAAATAAGTGGACCATATATGTTCCTCACAACCGAAAAAGTATTTGGAAAGCTGTCACACAAACATACTCAAAAGTCAAAGATGACCAAATCTATAAAACCAAAACTAATATCTTAGCAACCAAGCAAAGTAATTTCTCTGCCATTTGATATTTTCATACAATGAAGGCTTATCGGCTTAAACTAGATTATTACTAAAATTTTAAGATGAAATATGACGAGGACATGATGATTCTTAAATAATTCGTAGAAAGAGAATTTATTAGTTTCTTGTACAACTCAAAAATGAATGTGACAGAGTTCATGTTTAAATTTTAGATAGAGAAATTTGACCAGCTCAAACTGAAATTTTCTCACTCATACAAGCTGAAGAACAAAGAAATATAGCAATGCTAAATAACATTATCTTTGAAGCATTAACAATGAAAACCAACAAACTATAAAAAAAAAAAATTAGTGGTCACTAATTAATTATTTCACAATAAAAAAATATTTCTCTAACACAGTTTATGGTGCAATTACTCAAAAAAGGAACACATCAAAGATAAATATAGAAAACTCCACGAAAAGCCTCAAAGCTATTGGAAATAAAGGTCACTCAAACTAACAAGCTTGCTGTGTGGAATTAAAGGGGCTCAACTTAAAATAAATAAAAAAAATTAAAAAACTTCCTCAACTTCATAGAAAAACCATTGAAGTTATGCTCCTTTGGTCAAAATAGTAAAAGTTGTAAAACGTGCATTTAAATGCTTCAAATGATTCTCTCAAACCTGAATCCTATATTCAAGAGGCACCAACCCATGGCAAATCTTGCAATCTTTTCAAAGCTACAAATCATACCTCAGTAAAAATAAAAATAGAATAACTGATGATTCTCAAACAATTGTGATAGATTAAGAGGATATTTCTATTTCTCACGCATTTACCCTCAATAATGTTCTATATTTTCCTCATCATGCAATAAATCTTTATTAATCCATAAAATTACTAAACAATATAATTTCAGAGTACCAATACATCACTATAAGGAGCATGATTGGAAAAGCTAGATAAAAAATGGGCAATATTTATGTTACGAAAAAAATCACTTATAATGTTCCTTTATATCTACCCACGATATAGAAATTATTTGGGAATACCTATTCTTCTTTTAAAATCATAATGTACGTTTCTTCTCTTTTTATGAATAATAACATTAAGGGCCTATTTGGGGCAGCTGCAGCTGGGAAGCTACTACGGAGAAGCTATTGCGGGAAAGTTGGTTAGTTGTTTGTTGCAGCTGTTTGAAAATAACTGTGCAGTAGCTGTTTCTGGATATATGATCATTTTGCCTCTGTTTAGTAATTTTGTTTGTAGCAGAACTGTAACAGTCAGATATCTGACACTTCAAAAGCAGAAACTCATTTCAAAACAGTACAATAAAATGTAAGGTGGTGTCTAATGTACAAGGAAATAAAAGGTAAACATAAACTGAAAAATTACAATAGTGTTGAAAAAACTACAAATATTAAAATAAAAATTTCTCTAATCATCCCCCTACTATCGCGTCAGTAATATATTCCCTCGATTCTGCAATCTCGCTTGCACCTTCCCCGTCTGCAGTACAGGTGGTGGAAGCCTCATTGTCATGTTGTGCCATACACTGCCCAAGACAATACTAAAAAGCTTCGGCAGGTACATGTTCTTGATCCTCGTCTGTCTGATTGAAGTCGATATCGTTGCAAGAATAATGTCATCAAATGTAATTGTTGAGAGTCATCGTAGTAATCACAATCTATAATTGTTTGGAAAACGAGTATAAAGGCATATCGCGGAGTATAACACATTCTTTCTTCGAAACACCAAAAGTCCTCTCAATGACACCGCGTAACGATGAATGTCTTTTATTGAACATTTTTTTATGTCTCATGTAACGTTGTTTGCACGTTCGAAGTTTGGTATGTGATATCTCGTATCAATAAATGACTTGAAATACCATCGTTGCAACAGATATCCAACATCAACCAAGTAGTATTTGTCTGATATAAACTATAGAATTAATATTGAGGTTATAGTTAAGTATGACTACTTACAGGTGGATATGAGAAATTGATATTGGCATTTCGCGGCGCTGCATTGAAAACTCGACCGTCATTTGCACTGTCCTTCCAACCGGTCATAAGAAAATGAAAAAACATTTTAAAGTCACAAATGGTCATGACATTCTGAGTCGGGTTCTCACAACGACCGATGAATGCAACATATTCATTATTTGGAACACCTGCGTCAAGATGTGTTCCGTAAAATGCTTCAATGTAGTCCTGGTAAAAATTGATTTTATTGAATATGAGGTAACACCTTAAAGAACATGTATCGTCCATCACGTGAAATCTCTGTGGGGTTCGTTCGAATGTAGGATCAGTGGGATTGATGACCTATGAGGAAAGGTTCACAAGTGTCTTCAACCAGATTGAGAAGTACCTGCAAATTATTTAAAAAAGTGTTGAAATTGCTTCATCGCCACTTGCATTGACGCATTCTAGGATAGTACGTACAGTGTTATCATCAACACCTCTCGCGAAGTCGTCCTGGCAGATCCATGAAGTCCATGAGATCCACTGAGTTCTTACAAAAGATCAATGAAAACTGCTTGTTTCATTCGAAACATATTGCTAAATCTCATTGAGTGTCATGCATAAAAACCGATCAATGTACGAGTTGTAATACTCGTGGATCAAATATACAGTAGTTGTTATTCTCCTTCTGCGTCTTCTTTCAGTTGTATCCATATGGACCAATATCGTCCAGTCTAATAAAATAGCATCAATAAAAATTAGTTACAACCACAAAAGGCTAAGAAGTTAAAAATATAAATGCACTTAATAAGCAAAGTTCCAAATAGTTTAGATATTCAAATCATTACAACAACCACAAATAAAAAAGCACCTGAAAAGTTCTTGCGATTGCAAATTTAAAAAATCTCTCAAACATTCATGCGATGAAAAAAACATCGGAGAGATGCCACCCCGCGGACATCGGGCTTTGGGCATCATCAGGAAAAAATCTCTACGAGTCAGATCCTCAAGCAACTCTATCGCAAACAGGTACATAGTGGTTAATCCTCATAAATTTCTCTTGATCCATTCAGAATTTCCAGGGCATGCTCGATAGAGCTTGAATGAGATGTTTGAGGTTCTGCGCTGCAAGAAGACAACAACTGTAATATCTGGTTTCTCATGAAAGCAGCCCTAACTTTTTTTTATTCTCAACCCTCAGACGCTTAAAACGGGAAGTGGACTCAAGTTCATGCTGCTCCGGGCTTGAGACTTCAGTTGATTCACCTGATCTTTGGGTTCCCAGGTTCTTGGGGTTGCGACCAAAAATGATGAATATATAAAGGATATAGAAGTCCATCTATGCAAACATGTAAGAATTCCAAAAACAAAACCTTACTTTTAGATTGCACTAACATCACTTTTTTCAGCGAACCAAAAATAATAACAGATTTAACAATAAATCCTCTAGCAAACAATAAATCCCAAATCAATAAATCCTCGAACAAACAATAAATTCCAAATCAAATCAAATAGTAAAACAATTACAGAATTTAATCTATGCAAATAAATCCCTACATTGAGCATTCACAGAATTTAATAGATTAAAGAATCTCTCCTTTAACA